ACAAGGTAATTAATATCATTTGTAAAGGCATATATACTGGGTATCTATGTCAGGGACATAGTCTTACTATATGTCCAATGATGTAATCAGTTCACTTTGTTTTGTTCTCCTAGCATATTAGTAATTTCTTTCAAAAAGTGTTGATCACTACATGATTCAAGAGCCTAATAAAGTTTCTTGAGCCTCTAGAACTGATATTCATTGTTTGAACCATATTGATAGATAAGGAGAAAGCTCAACTGTATGTGTAGGTTATCTTTTCTCTACAACTGTAAGCTACAAATTTTTAGATGCTAAATTATTTGTTGAAAGAACTATACTAACATAAAACGATTTATTGTGTAAATTTGAACTATCAACAACGCATTAAAGATGAAGCTCTTCTGCATGTTGGGAGAACAAACAATGCACTGCACTATTTCTTTTACGAAGTGGTTTCTGTTATATGGAAATTGGTTTATCACTTACTTTGTGTGCACAGACAGAAAAGCTAAACTTTGCATACTAGTTTAACACTGCTTGCTGTACTCTAGGATTTGATTCCTGTTCCTCTAACTTCAAACTAATTGAAATTTTGCAGCTTGCCGAGAAAGGATGCAGCATAAGTTTTTCTGAAATGACAGTGCAGAATAACAGTATAGAGATGAGAAAGGAATCAAAGGATATCACAGTTCAGCACCAGAATACTGATCTATTGTCAAGCCCAAGTTGCACTAAGCTAGAACTTATTGATGCACGAGAAACATCAACAGATGTAGTAGAAGAACTCATAGTGGGGAGGGAACAAGAAAAAGGGAAAATAATAACTTCTTTACTTGAGAGCTCATCAAAAAAGATTTCCATCCTTCCCATACATGGTATTGGAGGCATTGGCAAGACAACTTTTGCAAGATTGATTCATAATGATCCAAAGTTCAAATGTTACTCTAAAGCATGGGTCCATGTGTCACAAAGATTTGACTTGAATAAAATTCATGAGCCTATTATTTCACAACTATCTGAAAAAGAGAATCAGGCTAATGAAAGACATGTGGTACATAGTTCCCTCACAAAGCTACTTCCTGGTAAGAAGATTATAATTGTTTTAGATGACCTTTGGGAGGATAATCAGTTCCTGTTGATGGACTTGAAGGATATGCTATATCATGATGATAGCAATATAATTATTTTAGTAACAACACGAAGTGAGAGTGTTGCAGAGAGAATATGTACAAACCTTCAACCATACAAGATATTACCCTTGACGAACAATATGTGCTGGGATATAATTAAACAAACAAGTGGTTTTGAAGCTAGAGATGACAAAGAAAAGTTGAGAGGTATAGGACAGGAGATTGCTCAGAAGTGTGCTGGTGTGGCTTTAGCAGCTCAATCTCTAGGATTCACTTTATGGGCATGAATTTTGACCAATAAATGAAAGTGAAAGACAGTGATATATGGAAAGAACATATTTCAAAGGATATCTCTGTGCCAAATCATGTTGTTGCATCTTTGATGTTAAGTTATAGCTATATGGATCTATCTTTGAAGCAATGCTTTACCTATTGTGCAACCTTCCCAAAAGGTTCTGGCAGAAGGAGGGGCAAAAACTGCAGGCCGAACATCTTTCTCTCTCCCAAACAACCGGAAATCTTATTCTATTGCGTGCGGTGTCGAGGAGCTAAATACACCGCTTGTAATAGTACTTTATATGTTAAGTCTGTGCTCACCTGCAATTTCAAGCAAAAATGGTGTCCGCTAGCAAAATTTGCCCAACATTTATCTCACTGACTTTATATGTTAAGTCTAAACTTACTAATTCTCTTTACAGAATCGTGAAGCAGGCGTACCTTGGATTCCATTAGTACCAGCTCCTCCGATGACGAACTAAATTTCTAAGCAGCCAACAGATGCATGGTGTGTAGCTACCGAGAGCAACAATTACCGGTGTAAAATAAGTTATGCACCCCATAGAATACTCGACTTAAACAAGTCTTGTACTATAATATATTAACCACCACCCGGCCATTGAACTATAATCCAGGCCAGCTAGCAATACAAAATGCTGGTCTATGCTTGCTCTTCTATATAATATATGCCAATCAAGGCAAGGCAAGCCTTGTCCAACTATAAAAAAATGTTAATCTACGGTTGCTTTTGTACAATATGCTAATGAAGATAAAACAAGCAGTCCTCTACCAGAACATCCGTATGTATGAAAACAACTCCACTGATGCAAAACAATGGTAAAAAAAGCATCACAAAAATGCATGTTACAAACACACACAGTTCTTACATTCCTGCCTCATCATATATTTGTATATAAACGTCACTTTACAGATCCTTTGAGCCACAACCCAGCAACTAGTAACTTTTAGTCGCAAGTCAGACAGCACGCTCTCAGTTTATTTAGAGCCACGGTACTGTTGCCAGACAAGCAGGTCCTCATCGGCCAAGCATCAATAATAAGCAGAATGAGGACGTCCTCGGTGCTTGCAAGCAGAAACAAAATAGTATAAAGAGGCGAGGAACACGGTGCCTGGACGGGGAGGTTTCGATAACCTGCAAGAAAAACCGTCGGCACGATGGCCGACGTCCACATTTGGGGCACGATGGCCCACACATCCACAATTCCGGCACGAAGGCCGTCAACACATAAACGGCGCGATGGCCGACAACCAGAACGGGACGGTTCGTATACCTTGGGCGTTGGCGGGACGTGCACGCGGAGAAGAAGACGCCGACAACGGGACGGGACGTGGCGACGGAGGCACCTCCTCCCCTTCTCCTCCTCGGCCTCCTACTCCTCTCCTCGCCGGCCTCCTCCTCCTTCTTCTTCCTCCTTCTCCTCCCCTTCCCCTTCTTCTTCTCCTTCTTCCTCCTCTTCCCCTTCCTCCTCCTTCTTCTTCCTCCTTCCTCCTCCTTCCTCCACCTACCTCCTCCTTCTCTGCTCCCTGACCAGCGGCAGAAGGAAAGGCTGGACGGGGCAGAAGGAAAGGCACGGACAGACGGACGGAAAGGCTGGACGGGGCCAGGGCCGGGGCTGGGAGCGCCAGGCGGCTTGCCTCGGGGCCGGCCGCAGGGGCCGGGGAGGGGGCGCGCCGGCCGGACGGGCCCCGACGCCAGGGAGGGGGCGTGTGCAGGCCACACCTCTGCGGGCCTGCAGGGGCGCGTTGTGTGAATTTTGCACTCGGGGAAGCCAGCGACACTGGGAATTTTGCCTCTCCCAGAGTGTCTTGTTATTCGTCAACCCTCCAAAAACACGTGTTCGGTGAATCCCTAATTGGAGAGGAGAAAGGATTGAAGGAGGCGAAAGGGAGACCTTTAACTTGTAGGAAGTAAGATTTCTCAATCCCCTTAGATTGAGGATTAACCGAATGAATAAACCCTAAGGAGTTGGGTCAACGAGCTAATAGTACGCCTCAATGATGGCTAATAGAATGTTTTTGTTCGTGCCATGCAGCACAACCATAACTGCATATCACTGTTAGGCAAATGATTTTTAATATTGCGATAGATTGTGAAGATGTAGACTTTGTAGAGATGGCTTGTAACAGCCATCTTTTTTGCAAAGAAGAGAGAGCTTTATTAATTACTCGGAGTTTAGGATACAATCTTGAGTTGTACAATTTGCTCAGCACAGGTCGGCACACTAAAACGCCAAATCGCTGAAGTGTAATTGCCACTGGAAATGCATTTCAAGTCAAACGTCCTCGAGCAGTTGCCTTAAAGACAACCGCCTCTTGAAATGCTTTTGCAAAGGCTGTGTTAACTCAATAAATTCACTCAGGAGCTTCCTAGCGAGGTAAATCCAAATTTAATATAATTTTACCTATTGTATTAACAACTAATATTAATTTAAGAGCGTATAGGGATTTGTTAAATCTAAATCCAAATGAAAGAAGAAAATGTATCAGAGGTTACGTGACTCCATCTGTTTTCGAGTAATTGTTACAGTTAATATCACTATTGTTGCTACCACTGCCCACTCACATGTACAATGACCTTCAGAATCTTGATTGACAAATGAAAATGTATCACTAGATTTGATCTCGCATGGCACTTACATAAATATTATGCATTTGTGAAATATTTATAAACATGTTTTCCATAAGAAAACACACACCTTCTGTATTTGTAAAGAGAATTCCCTCTATGCCCCCCCAATGTTACCATGATATCCCATAACATTTCTAGTATTGCTTTAGCTTTTTGGTTCTTTTCCGTATCACTGCTGTTAGCACAACTACCTCTCTCCACATCGTCATTACTTAGGTGGTTGTCATATTTCTTTTTTGAAAGTGACTATTTTTCCCTTGGTTATAGTGGGTCCAAACCGTTAATGTCAACAATCTAGTCTCCTCCGCCCCTCCCCTGATGCTCCCCTCCCGACCTCCTCTTCCCTCGGCACCAGCTTCAACTGCTGGGTCCTCACCTTGATGGTGTACCGGCACCAGCTCCGCGATGAACCCTTTGGCACCCTATGTGACTCTAAGGATTGATTGATGGCTAGATGGAGGGTGCATAACCATGGGAACAAATATGACACAAGATTTTGCCTCGAGGTTTGATGGCTTGGCATGCCAGCCACCTATGTTCCCGTTGAGGCGTGCCCATGATCACCACCCTCCATATGCTCAAAGATCCTTGAAGATCATCTCCGATGTGAGCGCTTTCCTATGAGCCGGCTCAATCATGAGGTACACCACAAGCCTCGATTCTATTATCTTTGTGTTGCGCCCGGAGATAAGCACAAGAGCCCTCAACAAATCCTCCTTCAGAACACAGAACACAGGACACAAAAAACGTGTTTTCAGTGAAAACGAAGGTGGCATTTTTATTTATTCCATTCCAAGCACAGGACACAAAAACCTGGCATTCGTCACACACTCTTCTACATCGATCCTTTCCCATTTTTTTTTGTTCTTACCGTACGTCCTTTTTATTCACATGTACACACACCTGATGGAAAAAAGCTCACCAGCCATGCTTGCATGCGCGCGGTCCGCGGATCGACGTTCTCAACTCCTACAACCAGATCGCGCCGGCGTTCCTGAGCATGGGCACGAGCTCGCCGGAGAGGTGCAGCGCCATGACCCTGTTTGTCCCGCCGACGAGGTTGTTGCCCACGAACACCGCTGGCACGGTGGGGTGCCTCGCCCGGCGTCGGCGCCGAGCCTCCTGGCCAGCTCCCGCTGCATCTCCAGGCCCTGGGGGTCCCTGTCCAGATCGTGCACCGCCGCGTTCACGCCCAGGCTGCTCAGCAGCGACGTCACGACGTCGCCCATGCTGCAGTTGCTCGCCGTGAACACCACCACCACCGCGCGCTCCGACGCCAGCCTCGCCACGTGGTCCATTGCCATCCTCTGCTGCTTGTTTGCCTAGCTTGTCCGGACCAGAAGGTTCTAGAGGCTTCTAGGTCCCCTCTCCTTGGGTGCTGAGATGATTTCGAAGGTGGTGTGATTTCATGCTCTACTGGCCATGGGACGGCTTGCCTTTTATAGGCTGGAAAAAGGTGTTGGATTGTTGGTACGTACTAGTACCTACTTGCATTGGATTATACTCCGTATGTTATAGATAGAAGACAGAAGATTCTATTCTTGACAACTAACTGATAGCATTTTCTGCACATGTTATATTAAAATATGTGCAAATGGAACATATATATCTAGATTTGGTTCTTCTATATATAATAACTGAAAAATGATTCTTATGATCCATTGAAGGTTATAAGAATCCATGTGTGTGTTCAAGCATGAGGGCCCTGGGAACATTGGAATCTCTCTCTCTCTCTCTCCTCATGACTCACGAGTCGAGCACATACAAAATTTGCAATATTATATCAAGAAATCTGAAAAACCATAAGGATCTTTTCAGAAGTCATGACTCATGAGGATAGAGCTGTATAGATATATATATGGAGATTTTCTTCGGTCATAGTTTATAAGCAAAACAATCTCGAAGAATATTAACACTTGCACTTTCACGTTCGCGAAAAAAATAACACTTGCACTTGTATTTTCACATACTGACCAAGTACACACATTAAAGATGATACTAGTGATATATGTTTTTTTTGAGAGCAATACTAGTAATATATGGTTGACATGCTGAAAAGCAGTCAATTTTCTTATACTGTTGTTCGTAGTCTGAATTCTGAAACTTGTAATAACTAAAAAAAACTCTGGTGGAATAAGCTATTTCCTTGTATCTTATATCTAGTCATTGTTAAATGCTCTTCCGTTCTGTGAAAGTCTCGTTGTCTGAATGTTGTCCCTGCAGGTAAACTGAGAACTGAGAGTTGAGACTGCTGACTCTGACTGTAAACAAGTCCATACAGAAAGGTTTTCGAAAAAAAAAAGTCCATACAGAAAGAAAAGGTGCCGACGACAACACGCGACGCGGCTTCGTCACATGACAATATGACAGCAGGATCTGATTCCTCTGGCTAAGAGCAGGCACTCTGTATTGGAAGGATCAGGCTCCTGAATCCTGTTCTTCAGGTTCAGAATAGCATCTTCAGACAGAGAACCTACGGTCTCATTCAATCCCTCACACAAAGTCACTCTCTCTCTTCTTACCTTATCGGCAGTGGCAGAATCTGCCCCATTTGCTATGTGTCGTTCCTTTTGAATAGTTACACCATACTTGGTGAGTAAATCATTAGTCAAGACACTTGTCATAATTCTGCTCAACTTGCTGTATTTTGTTTTCTGAAGCTTTTTCACCACAGCATCATCTTTATCAGTTGCCTTGCCACAGTGCTGCACAGCCTTGCATTGCATATCAGGAAGGCCATGCTGTGTAACTGATGCTATGGAACAGTCGTCGTTGATATGCTGCAATGGTTCTTCTGATATTCTCATGTATGATGCAAACCCCCCAGGACAAGAAGATGACAATGGAGAATGTGGATAGACATGTATCCTTATCCTCAAGATCTACCCTGGCAGTGCTAACTATCTTAGAACTTTGCATCTTGAGATTCCTTCCTGAGCCTGATCAGTTGTTGGCTCCTCGTGTTTCATGAAGGGCTACGTGTGCATTGATCTGCAAAAGCATATCTGAAACAAATGTAAAGGTGAGGTGCAACGGAGAGGGAAAAATTCTGGAAATATCTTACAAAGAGTCCCATGCTATATAATTTTATAACATGTAGCCAAACAAGGGTGCCACCAAATATATCCACCACATAAGCGCATACAATGTTATAGATTACATATACAATTCTCACTTCATAAGCTGAGAGAAAATACACAAATTGTCGGTAGTGAGTAAATACCAAATAAGGAGTACCATCAAATCATCCAATTAAAGCCTGTTACATTTCACACACATACATAAATCAATGAAGGTTTGCAAGGGCTGCATTCTTTGATCTGCAAAAGCAAATGGATACCTGAAATGAAGGTAAAGGTGAGGTGCAATGCTGTGAATTTTTTTTGGAAATATCTCAGGTGGCAACACTATGAGGGAATGACCAAACAAGGAGTACCATCTAATACTTGCATTACTTATTAATATATGGTATTATTTATATACACGAATTGAATTGTGCGGACATTCTTATGGAGCTTACATGTACAATTCTCACTTGAGAAAAGGGGCACATTTAAAAGGTGAGCCTCTCCTTATCCTCTGGAGAGCTCTGGGAGCGCTCAGTATTTCATGAGCTGTACACAAAATGAAAATAAAAATACTGTACAGGGGTGTATTTCGTGGCAGACAAAGTCACATAGATTCTAGAGTTTCTGGTTCTTCTGGATATCTTGACAAGATGATGGATCCATCAACTTCACGTACGTAGCTGTATACTGAGTTGGCTGCACCAATCACAAACACTACAGGAACGCCTCTTTGCCACTCGCTTGCCCCGGTCGGCAAAGGCATAAACCAATCGGCAAAGGCTTTGCCGACGCAGCCACGTGGCGGTCGGCAAAGAGCAGTCGGCAAAGCCTGGGTCGGCAAAGGCGGATTTGCCGACCGCCACGTGGCACACAATCGGCAAAGCCTTTGCCAACCGCCACGCCAAATGCCTAATCGGCATAGTTACGTGCGTGCGTCGCAAATGACGACAGGCTTTTGCCGATTGCCGGTTCCTCGGCGATCGACAAAGAATTTTTTTAAAAATTGTTTGCCGGTGCCGCCACTTCGGCAATCGAAAAGAAAGAAAATATTTTTTTGAAATGTTCTTTTTGCCGATCGCTTTTGAGTTGCGATCGGCAAAGGTTTGACCTCTTCTTGCGATCGCCTCCCATTCTGATCGGCAAAGACTCTGTCTGGGTTTTTTGCCCGACTTTTGCCGATTATAAGCGAATAACAAAGCTGGAATTTTTTTTGCTTTTGTTTTCTGTTTTCTCGCATCAAAACCCCCGCAAAATCATAAATTATAATCCAATTTCACGAAGCTTCTAGTAGCACCATTTATATCACAATTTCATCACATTTGTCGCCAACATCACCACATATATCACAATAACGCACAACATCACATATATCTCACATATATGTCACAATAACAACCACACAAGTGCATTACAACCATCACATGAAGTCCAACACGTCGAACACCACAAGTCGACGTCCATCACACGAAGTTCAACATAACAAGTCTAGGTCCATAACGAAGAAAAGAAATACATGACAACAACTTCGACGATACGGTGGATACATGATAACAGAATCGACAAATACCTAGCTCGTCGCGCCGTCCCGGTCTCGTCGTCGCTCCGCCCCAGAGCCCTGTGGTTTGCCCACGGAAACCCCTTGGACCAAGCCGAGGCGTCTACAGCGTCGCCACCCTCCGCGCGCGGCCGACACGAAATCACGTCGGAGGAGGGCCACGCGGAGGTGGATCTGGTGGATGGGGTGCGGTGGTGGATACGACATCATCGATGGCCGGGACCTCCGGTGGAGACGGGTTTGAACCCGCCGACTGTACTCGCATAAGTTAAACGCCAAGTGATGTCATTAGTATCTGCAAAGACGGACGCACAAGTTAAAGCAAGAGTCAATATACTCACGGGGTCCTCTCGAGAGCGAGCACGGGAAAAAAACTACGGAGGAGGAGGCGGTGGAGCGAACATTGGAAGAGGAGGCGGTGTAGACGCCCAAGGCGTCGCATGGACCGGAAGAAGTGGCCATGTTTCGCGCATCGAGTGTTGTAGTGCTGCTGCGAGCTTTCTTTGGTAAGCCATCTGTTGCGCCATCATCTGCGCGCAAGGCAACGTGGCGATCCTCTCCTCCATCTTGGCCTCCATCGGGCTCGCAATATTACATCCACGGTGTTGATTGTATGTACAAAAGTGCGAAGCAGTGAGGTGAGCGAACGAAACGGCACTTACCGTGACGCCGACCGCCGCCGGGCGCTACGGGATGTCATTGGAGCTCGTGGGCGTGGATCGAACTCAGGTCGGCCGTAGGGAACTCGGGACGGGTCGAGGGCGTGGGCCATGTAGTAGCGCCGTCTTTGCTTCCCTGGTCCCAACCTCTACAGGAGGTCTCGTGTCCGGGGCTCGGCGGTGGGTTTAACGTCTCCCGTGGCGCTCATGAGCCGCGACGGTGTACTGGTGGCCTTCGTGGCGGTGGGGTTGGTGTGCGATCGGGCCCGTCCTCCCGGGTTGTAGACGTTGTTCGGATCCGTCGCCTTGCCCTTGTGAGAGAGGAGGTGCGGTGTACTCGTTGATTTCCGCCCACCAAGCGCTCAAGGCTCGCATTGAAAACACAAACATGGTTACAAGTATTGACAATTGAGCGCAAGGATTAAGACATGAACGGATGCATACCCATCTTGTCGCGAATCGGGAGGGGCTGATTCCCTTGGTGGTGTGACACCCCTCGCGCTGCTGCGGCGGCCCTGACGGTCGGCGGCGCCTCGCAGACGCGCCTCATCCAGGCGCCACATGCGCATAATCTCCGTCCAAAGCATTCCTCGTGGTTGTCGCACCACGACGGACACACTGCATGACATCAAGTATTTGACATGCGAGAAGATTAGTGTAATGTTTCATGAAGGAATGCGAGCGAATGTTGTCATACTTAATTACCGTCAGATTGCGCTTGGGTGAGGTCGGCCTCCCTCGAGTTCATTCTCTGGCGGATTTGGGGCTTCTTGATGTTCTCTCCAAGCACGTTGGCGTGGAAGTCACGGATGGCTTCAGATGCGCGCCTCATGGTACAGGTCCTTGAGACGATCTTTGCAGACCGCCTCTCCACTGCTTTCGCGCCGGGCCGCTTTTACCCTCCTCGTGACGTGAAGAAGTCCTGCATTACGGACACATCATGTAGCATTTTTTTTTGCAAGAAGTCCGACGAATGCGTATTATTTAGCAATGCGGTGCAATGAAAGACTCACCCAAAACTCCTCTTTATCTTTTGCGCGATGGTCTCGCCACCCTCCTCGACGAGGTAGAAGTGGGACCACTTGGTGGGCACCTTCATCTCGCCGTTGACGTTGACAAGGGCGAGGTAGTACTCCTTAATCGGGGAGGCCACGGATGCCATTGATATGGCGTGCTTGACCGCTCCACTCACAATCTTCAGAACCGCACGAGTCATTAAGAACAATTGTTAGTCTTGATTCGATTTTGACATGTCATATGAACAAGTAGTGAAATCAATAATGGTTACTTACGTCGCCCACGGTGTGATCACCGGTATTTGGTGGAATTGCGGCGCACCCTAGGAAGCTGCGCGTGGGCCCGCGAGTAGTACCTTTGGCCACGCTCGACGAAGTCGGGTTGCCTCGCTGGTGTAGGTGCGCGTCGTCGCCGTCGTCGTCGTCATCGTCGTGCGTCGTCGCCGCCGCCGCGCTTGTCGTCCTGCGACGACGTCGTCCCCCTGCGAGGGCGAGAACAAGCAGACCTCTGGTCGCGCTGGCGATGTCCATTGGGTGGGACCCCTATTGGGCGACCCGCGCACCAACACCTCCTCCTCCTCCTCGTGCGTGCGTCGGCGGTCTCCTGTGGGGGACTGCATGCCGAAGCGTCTTCGCTCGATCCGCTGCCACGCTGCCGCCGTCACTGGCATTTTGCCGAGTGCTCGCAATGACAAAGAACAAAACTGTTAGCATAAATAAATGACAAGTACTTGTAAAGGAACATAATAATAACAATATAGTATTACATGGCCTCGTAATTATCTCCATGACGGCAATATCTAAAGGCGTGGAGTCGTCATCTCTATCACTATCGTCGTCATCGCTATCAATATTGTCGAGCTCCCTTAAGTCATCATTGTCATCATCATCCTCATCGTCTCCATAGTCATCATCATGTACCTCCTCCTGGACAACTCCATCGCGCTGCATCTGCCATCGCTCAAGCATTCTTAAGTCCCTGGCATCCTGCACCTCCTCACCCTCATCCTCATCGATTTCGTTGTCTACTTCCATGCCCATGAGCGAACCAATGTCGATCTCCAAGGTACCTTCTAGCCCCTCAGGTTGATAGAACTCATCGGTGCTTGGGTCAAAGTTGTAATCGTTGTCGTTTGGGAGAGGCGCTTTGCCACCCGACGTCGCCACTTGCTCGAAACTTTCTCAAATTTTTACCACAGCCTCCGCGTGCGATGACAAGACACGTCGTCAAGTTTCGTCATTTTCGGACTCCGTTTCGATTTTATAAAATTTAAAAACACTTTTCACGCGCGTGGCTCGGCGTGTTCCGACACCAACACGGTCGAAATTTCACGCGAGGCCCCGCACACGGCCTCAACATGCTCCAAACATCATGAATATCATTTTCGAATCGGCGGATTCCATTATTTCATGTACTGCAGTTCAAATCTGAGAGGCTGGGAAAAAATCAAAGAAATGTAGAAAAAATCTACGGAATATAGAAAAATAAATCAAAATGATCCCAAACTTGGAATATATCATGTACTTACTCGTATCAAGGCAACACAAAAAACGGGATCGAAAATCAAAAAAAAATAAAATTATTTGCCAACGCCGGGGAGGATGGCGATTAAGCAAAGCACTGCGCCTTTTGCCGATCGGCCGACGGAGTGGCAATCGGCAAAGGTGACGATGTGGATGGCGTCAACCATGGCCTGCCTTTGCCGATTGCAATTCTTTGCCAAGCGCTCGGCGCAGTCGGCAAAGCCAGCGATCGGCAAATCTGCTTTTGCCATTGCAGGAAATTCCAGTTGGCAAAGGGACCTCTTTGCCGAGTGTCGAAAAAAAACAGTTGGCAAAGAAAATTGCAGTCGGCAAAGAGCCAGTTTCCTGTAGTGAAATTGACAGGTTCCCCTTGAATCAGCATGTAGTGTGACACCGTAGTACTCAAGATGATCTGCTACGCTCATCCCATAGACCGACCTTTTGAAGCAATGGCAAACAATAAGCAACACATGCAAGAAAATAAATATCCAAAATAGATAGGCAGATACATACCTGCTACAGGTTGGGTCCTCACCAGAATCATCACATACCGTCTCATTTCTGGTAACTACATTTCCATCTATGCTCTCATGAAGCCAAACCTGAAGATAAATAAATGCAGAAGAAATGGATTAACGGTAACGTGGAGAAGTATGCATCTCTGTAAACTCTTTTTGACTATTGGATACACACCTCTCTAGCAAAGTGGTGGTATGTCCATTCACCTAGGTAATAATAATACGGTGGTAAATGCGGCACAATATCATTCTGATGGGTCACACGGATTGTTCTTGGGACTAGTTCACCAAAGTATATCCGAGGCTGTCCAAAAGTCATGAGCTCAACCTCCTTTGATCCAAATGTAACCTGTAAAAGAAAAGGTAAAGGTAACATTGAAGCCAACCATCTGATATATTAACAATACATGCGATGGTAGTAGAGCATATATTGAAATTTGATGCAATAAACCAAGTACATTAAAAATACTTACAGATAGGTCAAGGGCACAAAACGAAGCTAAAGCCCCTCCCATGGAATGTCCCACAACATTTATGGGTAGATTTCCATATGTTTTTCTTGCCCATTTAATAGACTTCAGGATATCATATCGCATAGTGGTATTATAATATGCAGTATAAAACCCATGATGTACCTAGAACATGAGGCAGACAAGCAGCAAGCAAACACAAGTTATTGCTAATTCAATGAGAACTCTAAACATCAAGAACAACTTGACTAGTGGAGTTACCATAGCATCCGGCATGCCTGGGTATGTCACATCAAGCTGCTTCCAGAAAAGATCTTTGATCCAATTTGAGACACTGTGCAAGTTAAATTCCAAGACATCAAATCAATGAGAAGTGAAGATTGAAAGCTTATAAATAGCTTATGATATTTGATTAAAAGATTACAATAACTAGGATAAAAGGTTGATGCACTCAGAGCAAATGCCCATACGTTACAAGTCTCGACTCATAATGGAGCATTTTCTGTACCTGTGCTGTTGAGTGCCTCTAAATGCAATGATTATGGATCGAGGGTCAGGCGCAACTCCAACAAATGCCTGCACAATATATTAACAAACAACCGAACATAAGTTTTCATAGAACACTGAGTGCAAGAAAAAAAAGCGTTGCTGAAATAGAAATACATAAAGATAGTTAACCTGTAAGCAGTTCTCCACATCTACTATGATCTCTATCACCTCAAAACCCTGCATCAATAATACAAAAACAGACGATTAAACGCCAAGGAACACGTAGAACAACTTTCAGAAGCAGAGGAAGCACAGACCTTTGTGTGGCCTTTGCACCTTGGACAGGTCCATAAGAAAAGTGATGTTAAGTCAGACGTGTACACCTGAAACGCATTTATGTAATGTAAACCAAGTCTGAAAAAGAACAAAATGTATTTTGCAAATAGAAACATGGGAATCATTATATGCATGCCCTATCAAAGAACCATTCAGAGATGCAACAACCAAGAACAGGATAGCTATTAGTGACTGAAAATGCTGCAAAGAAAAGGGAGGGAATGAAAAAGTGTGGCAAAGAGTTTTTTTTTTCTTAAAAAGGAAAGGGTGTGAAAGGCAAGTATCAGAACAGAAATTGTCTAGCTAGGCAAGGACAATATGAAGTTAGGGCAGACTTATGATGAAGTTGCTTTCAACAGAATAAGTAGCAGCACATTGTGCATGAGGAACTTACTGCAGACACGTATTCGACAAGAATATGAGCAAGAGTATGATTGTAGGGATAACCACCATCACTGTGCTTCAGCCTGATCACTGTCCCGTTTGACACGGCTAGTACCGGTACATCAGCAGCAGCAGCCGCTGTGGTCAGTCTGAGACATGGGATGGGAAAGCCTGCCTCCGTCACAGGCTCACAGCGTTAAGCCTGACATGCGGGCCCGGTAAGTGTAGAAAAGTCGCCATCTCAATCAAAGGTTAAAAGTCTGTTCTGTCACCGTATATGCCCCGCCGTATATGTGTAGTATCTCATCTTTTATTTTATATTTCCTTTGTTTTGAAATACTCCCTCCGTCCCAAAATAAGTAACGTTTTTGACCGTTCGTCTTATTCAAAATTTTTGTGTAAATATTATCTATTTTGTTATGACTTAATTATCATTAGATATACTTTAATAATGATTTATTTATTTTATAGTTTACACAAAAAATTTAAATAAGACGAATGGTCAAACAAGATGTCCGAAAGTCAAAAATGTCACTTATATTGGGACGGAGGGAGTAAGTCTATTCTTACCCTATGAGAATCATAAGTTTGACTAACTTTATACGTTTATAGTAAAGAACAATAATATCATAATAGTAAATAAATAGACTATAAAAATAAATTTTATGATATCTATTTTGCATGTAAATTTAACTGGCCTACATCGAAATGACTATTTCCTTCATTCTGTTTATAAATTATATTGAGTTTTGAGAAGTCATTCGATATTCTGATCACTAATTTTGTTTCTTAGATACATGTCAATTAGCACAAATCAAAATCTTGCTAAAAGACATGTGAAGGAGAATTTATTAGTGTATCTTATATTTAAGATGGAGGGGCGAGGGAGTATATCACAAAACTGTTTATTGGTACTAACATTATCACACCAACGACTGATTTAGAGAATATAACATGTATCTCCATGTCGCACAAAAGACTACTTTTTGTGGTACACTCCCTCCATCCATATAAGATACATTGGCTTAAATATGTAGTTTGTGTTAATGTTAGAATACATATACTTTGTATTTAGAAAGAATATCTAATTTTCTAATAATGGTTATCTTTTTCCCTTTCTTATCCTGGTTTACTACTAGGTACAATAATACATTTTTGTACGGTTACCGGGCTTGGTTTCATGTATCAAAGGATAGATCTTGGAGCATAGCATGCCACTATGGCAGCGAGCAAGTAGCCGACAGCCGCATTAAATCCCGTCAGGAGCTGTACGCCTGTACCATAATCATACTCGCATACAGGATCTTCTGTGCCAGCGCATACTCTAGCCACTCTGCTTGCCTATGATGCGTAGCTGGCGCTCCAACAGCACGTCACGTCAGTGTTAGCACAAAGGCTGTGGACATCAACCAGCATGTTTTCCTAACGGTTCTAGTACGGAGTACGGGTAAGTTGTAACGGAATGCCTCGTGGGGGCCTGTTTGTTTGAACTTATCAGCCGGCTTATCAGCTAGAATCTATAGTATTTTTCTCTCATAATAAAATAGCTTCAGCCGACTTTAATACCAGTCGAACATGCCCCGTCAGTTTGATCACCTACAACTAATTATTAGTCCACTGATCGATACTCCCTCCCCTCTATGTTTTAGGATTTTTAAGATAGATTAATACTCGGTTTTAAATTGCCCATGTATCCCTAGTCTATGACAATTAAGGAATAAGCTGCTATGTACTACCTCCGTCCCGAAAAGAATGCAACTATGGGTTGCGTGCTACGAAAAGTGGATCATGTTTGAACAAGTTTTTAGTGAATAATATTCATATTTATGGCTTTAAATTAATTTATTATGAAAATACATTTCGTAATTAATCTGATGGTATTTATTTGGTATCATAAATATGGATACTTTTTATCTATAATTGGTCAAACTTAAGGCGCTAAAACATGACACTATGCTAAAATTGCATTATTTTGGGGATGGAGGTAGTACTTAAAAGAAATACATGAAGGCATGCAGACTACAATCTCAAGCTGATATGTGATGAGGACATGCAACCTTGCGATACGACCATTGATCATAAGGTGAGCTTGTTCCAATGTTTCGATAATGATAAAACTAAAAATTGGTTGGTACCTAATATTGATATTTCAAAAGTGCTTAGGACCAGTGTAGATGATGATGGGATGTGGATGCACCATGCTCAAGACCCATCTTGGGGTACGAGATCTTCAAAGCGCAACACTCGGTTCATCGATATCCCGATAGTACTTTATTGGAAAGGCCATAACTTCTTCATCCTGAGTGTGGTCGAGGTCAATGAACACTTGATGGAAAAGCTTGTTTGATAAGCTTTCAAATGGATTTGATCCCACATCAATATCACATCGAAAAGGCCTCTAAATCATCAAGATTTTTTGTTGTTGTTTCTGCCAGGTGCTAGGACATCGTGTGGACGTGCTAATCTCCCTTGGGACCCTGGCCCAAGTCAGAACACCCCCAAACATGTGGAGAGCAGCCAAAGGATTCCCAAGGATGTCCTCCCCCTTAGGAGGCAAGCAAGGGCACGCAAGCCAAATTGGAGGTCCAATCCATGTCAAGTTCGAGTCCATCTCGGACTGCAGGAGTAGCATGTAGTAAAACGAACGCTGAGGACACATGCAAACTCCTTTTTTCGACAATCCAACTATGAATGGAAAGATAATTTCATAAGTTAACCAATGGCACTAGTCCCATATAAAAAATCGATCGGGGTCAACGGAAATTATCGAAACAAGTCTGTATCCTGAATCTATCAGAGTGTTGCGTCGTAGTCTTTGGGTTGTATTGGGCCTTGTAACGTGTTGGAACTCATGGATGTGAGTAGGGTTCCTTGGCCACCCCTTAGACTATATAATCAGTAGTCGTCGCCCATGTTAGGATTTGGGTTTTGCTTTAGATCAATCTGTCATTGAGAATAGTCGTCGTCATCGGTTGTGAAACCCCACAGTCCCAATATATAATGCCAAAAGATTTATGTTGGCTTGCATAGACTAAAATCATTTAATTCATTTATATTCTTATGTAATGCATTGAACTATAAAATTGCAATTAATCAATGTGAGTAGTAGGGAGGATGGTTGATAAAATGTGGAAATGAAAACAATTTGTTCTATATGTATCTAACATGTGTCATCTTGTTTACTCTCTTTGGCCTCTCTTTAGTGTCGCTATGGTATTAATGGTCAAACTTTTATAACTTTAACTAGGTTTATAGAAAATATTAGCAACATTTGTATATACAAATAAATTTATTATGAAAATAGATTTAACAATCTAACTAATGTGCTAAATATGTACCATAAATATTAATATTTTCTTGTATATATTATATCAAAGTTGAGTATGTTTAACTTCTCATGAAGTAAGAATAATATTTAAAATGGAATGGAGGGAGTATCTATTTTCGTGTTCTCAAGAAAAACCTCAAGAGATTTCCTTGTGGTATATGGAACTCGAATAAATACTTGAGATGAATTCTACTCATCATGCATCATATCCTGATTTTTCCCTTGTAGCGGAACGTGGATTGAATTGGATATCCACTGTGGCATCCTAGTGGTGACATGCTGCAACAATGGATCAGGCTGCGTGCATCATAAGTGTTTCCCCCCATTTTTTTAAAAAAAAAACCTCGATTCACACTCAACATTATATAAACTCAAGTGGTCAACAATATAATCTTGGCTTCATCGACTTACTGAGTTACTACCTCCGTCCAATAAGTCTCATTATTATTTTATGAGAAGTCAAATATTTTTAGTTTTCATCAAATGTATATAAAATATTATTAGTATATATAGTGCATAATAAGTGTCGTTAGATTAATAATTGAATATATTTTCATAATATGAGCTTTTTTGGAGATGTAAACATTTCTAAAATTTTCTACAAACCTAAAAAACTTAAAAAAATTGATCTACACAAAACTCCAAATGACTCTCTTTTAGGATGGGGAATATTTCCTACTCCCTCCATCCCCCAAAAAATAGAAAAAAATACAATTTTCACTTTCCAAGAAGACAAACAAATTTAACTTTAACCACCTCTATACGAAAAGGCACTAACATTTTTTATTGAATAACTATCATCTAAATTAATTATGAAATATATTTTTATACTAAATCTACTTGGAGACATAAAGATTAATGTTCTTTTCCATAAAATAGGTCAAATTAAGAAAGTTTAACTAGTATCAAATCTAAAATTGTTTTTCTTTTGAGCGGAGGGCGTATACCTACTTTTGTGTTTAGCACATCATATTATATACTCTCTCTTGGTCAAAAAGAATATAACTATGGGTTACAAGCCAGTTAAAGTGGTTCACGTTTGACTAAGTTTCTAGTAAATGATATTCACATTTAGCTCCAAAATTAATTTATTATGAAAATACATTTTATAATTAATCTCATAATATTTATATACATAAATATTGATTTTTTTATCTATAATTTGTTAAACTTAAGCTATTAAAACATAACAGCATTCTCTGCGAGGACCGGGGAGGACATGCAAGGACAAACGCTGTCGCTCGCGCTGACTGCTGCGATGAGCAACGCAAGGGCAAAAACAAAACCACTGAACAGTCAGTACTAGTTGGTTGGTGGTCCCTCATGTCGTGCCGTGGAGGACCATGGTCCATGCATATGCATGCACAGTGATCATGCATCGTCATTTGTGAGGTATCCATCGATCGGACGGTTAGGCCGAATCGTGGAAGGTAGCCTTCGTGTGATTTTTTTTCTCATAAACCCAGTATAAAATGCTAGTCTTCTCGTGTGCCCCCCCCCACCCCCCCCCACACACACACACAAAACCAAATATAAAGACGGTCACGTACAGGCACGTTTATGTGTTCTTACACCAGCTCCAAAAGTCTCTTTATATCATTTCTAATGGATAGAAATAGAAACTTTAGATAAAAAACACCATTCAACACCTCTTTAATTAGATATCTAAATATAGCCATCTTCTATTCAGGTTTCTTGCTAAACAGGTTAACTCCCTAGAGTGTACACAAGATATAGAGAAGCTAGTCGCTGGTGGAAAGATATAGAGAGCGATTTTTTTTAATGGCGCTCCAAATTATGATTTAGAGACTTAGTTTAAGAGGGACTCTTGAAAATGCTCTTATAAACGCACACACATATTCTATTTCATAAGCACATGTAAAGAACTCACCTAGATTGAACCGACAAATCTTGAGGGTACATTATCCACCACTGAAGAATAGCGTTCTTAAAATAAATAAATCTAGAAATTATGGATATCCATGTCAAAACGAGAACTTAAATCTAAGTAAATAAGTTCCACTACAAGGACCCTACCTAATTGAGTTATGCTAAGTTTGCTAGCCTTTGGGTCTGTTTGGTTGAGCCGTGGCTTCTAAAAAAAACTACTGTCAGCTATGGGCTGTGAATAAGCATTGTGGTTTGTGGGCTGTGAGAAAGCTAAAAGCTGTTTGGTTAACAGTTGTGGCTTCTGAAAAAACTATTATCAGCACCCCCACAAAGTCACTCATGGCCTCAAATGCCAATCTCTTCTCTCACCCTCATCTTCTCTAGCGTGCTCCTGGCATAGCGCCGTTAGCCTGGGGTTGTGGCCTTGGAGTGTTGCTGGCCAACTCCTGCCAGGCAATGGACTGCCGCCGACCTAGGGCCGCGGCCTTAGAGTGTCGCCGGCGTAGGGCGATGGAGTGTCACTGACCTGGGGCGATGGAGCGCCACCTGTTTCCTGCTTCCGAAAGATGGAGCGCCAGTGGCATGGGACAATGTAGCGTCGCCAGCCAACTCCGGCCTGGGTCGATGGAGCACGGTGGTTGCCCCGACGTGGAACCCGTCCGCCCATTTCCTCACGATGTTGCAGCCCTTTGTTTCCTCGCGACAGGAAAATAAGTGGAAAAACGAATCAATACATTCATTGGTGGCT